AGATCGCTAACATAATTTTTCAGAACGTTGTTGAGTTAATGAAATATTTCACAAGTTACATTGACCTCATTTAAATGGCCAAAATTTTCCAAATAAAATTGTGGAGAATTTTCCAGACTCTGCAACGTACAGTGTGAATAACTGGGGCGAGTTACAGCAGTTGCCTTACGACGAATTCCTGACTGTAAAAAAACGCAAGGTACAGCCAGTTCTGAATATAACAATAATTATTGAGGTAAATGCGCTGAGATTTGGTTAATGATCTTCAGAAAATAAATTTACAGGATCCCGTTTAAAATAACTAAGTCTTCCGCAAATATCCAGACTAGTATTTAAGGACTGAAATAAGGTGCTGAAAAAGATAAATAAAAAGAAAGGGAAGAGGAGCAAAACAGAAAACATTCCTGTTTGCTTACGGCTCCTTACGATTTATCAGGATGTAACAAATCAGCGATATTGATGTTACTTTTCCTTGTTAACCTCGTCCAAGACTCATGTCTGTAACCTTGAACTGGTTTTTACTTCCTACCGAGAAATCCTACTACAAGCTGGTCTGGACAACTATACTAAAAAAGAGCTCATTCATAACTTCTTGAGCCTCAGAGTTAAAAATAAAAAATATATAAACAAAAAATTATATCACTGATCCTCTTTATTATATTCTGTAAATCAACATTATTACTAACAACTTGGTTCTTCTGAATTTCCTCTATTCATTCGACTAACTTCCCATTAGTTATCTCAATACTGAATTGTCTTCATTAACCTACATAAGTGCATGGTGTATAGTTTTTGTTATGATATTAAGAAAGTATGAGTAAACATACGTTTGTTTTATCCATAAAGTATGTGCGAAGCCGTTGTTCGGCTTCGTTTGAAAAGAAATATGTTGCTAAACTTAACATTTTGATCTTGCCTGTATATTGGCATGTCTCTTGTAACATGTTTGTTATTTGAGAATAAATTATTATTATTATTATTATTAAAGTCGAAAAATGACTCAGCAGATACTTTTTTTATAAGAACACGAACTGTACACCTGAACTTATGTAAGTTATTGAAGACAAGTCACTAGTAAGATAACGAATGGGTAATTAATT